AGTGACTTAAATTTTTTGAACACCCCTGGTATAGAATACCTTCGGCGGGAAGGATGTGCTCCTTCGAGAACCGTTCAGCACTATTTCAGCATCATTTCGGCGAAGTCCAAAACTAGTCACCAAAATTTCCCTGAAGTAGTCCTGAAGTGATTCATAAAAAGTCGTGAACTTGTCCCGACAGGATATCGAAAAAGTCCAGGAATGGTTCCTTACTAGTCCCAAAACGATCCCAAACTATTCGCAAAATGTTCCTGTACGAGTCTCAAAATGAATCTCAAATAGTTCTGAACTGTCCCACAATGATCCTGAAATAGTCCTGAGCCAGTACCGAAATGGTCCATAACTAGTCCGAAAATATACCTTAAATAATCGTTAACTAGTCCGGAAATAGCTGCGAAATAATGGTCATGAACACATCCCAATGCGGTCGTGAACTGGTCCCGAGAAGATTTCGGGATAATTGAGGTTATGTAGCAACGCAAATATTTTTTTGCGGTCGTGAACTGGTCCCGAGAAGATTTCGGGATAATTGAGGTTATGTAGCAACGCAAATATTTTTTTTTTACAGGAAACTAGACAAAATATATTAAGAAAACACAACCGTCACTATTCCAATAATTTTCCGACTGCTCGGTGGTGAGCGGTTATTCGAATTCAAGTTGTCAATCGAATACCTTTCTAACCGACAAAAACGTTGCTATTCGACTACTTAGTACACTAACGGAATAGCCGGATAGTCGATTTTTAACAAGAGCTGGACAACGGAGGTGAGAGTGCCCGCGAACACAATGGAGAGTTCGGGGTTTGCCAAATAAGAAAATGAACAAATACAGTGAAAGCTGCCTGGGCCGGAATCGGGACCATCAATTTTTTAAGACAGAAAGGTAAATTACAAACCGGCTCTAAGGGCACATATGATTTACACTTTAAAAAAGTTTTCAGGTGTATATCTTAAATAAAATAGATCACGGAAAATGGGCAAGAAATGCTATACAACCGAGCAGTCGTGGCAAACAAAAGAGCTATGTTATGTGTGTAACTTTGTAAAGTTATAAATAATTAAATCAACTAAAATTTAAACAAATAAATGATATATGTATGTATGTAAACAAATACAAACCCATATGTTAAAATCAAGTGAAAATCAAAAGTAAATAAAAACGCAAATACTAAGTATTTATTTTTTTAATTTTTATTTCTTTTTTTTTGGTTTTTCCAAATTAAAATATATATTTTAATTTTTAAATCAATTCTTGACTAAGTTTAAGTGAAAATAAATGATATAATCAATTATTATTTATACAAATAATAAATAGAGGTAACATTAACAGATCCGTAGATATAAGGTTTAAGAGCTGATTTTATAAAAAATAATCATATCATAGTGATAATAATAATAAGAAATTAAGAGTTGTGAACGAAAAGGAAACAAACGAAGTAGAGTACATAACAGCGCCGAGATAATAATTATTTAATTGTTTAATACTAAAAATATATCAAAAAACAAATAATTCATTATAAATTTAATCGAAAGTGGAAATGAATGGTATACATATTAAGTTTAAGGCGCATTTTAATTAATTAATAATATTTATTATATTTATAGCAGTGATTTCATGCGCTTCTTGTTATCGGAATATTAACGCTAAATTGCGCTTTCTTTATCATGGTTTTGTTATTATGATCATTCGCTTGCTTTGATGGTATTATTTTTTATAGTTTATTTGTATTTTTTAATTATTATTTTTTTTTTTATTATTTTTTTTTTGCAGCAATAACACACTCTACTAGTGTGTGTGTTTTTTTTTAATCTGTATTTAAGTATCATTATTCATAATATTCAACAGGATGCAGCCTGATTCTTTTAACTAATTCATCATCCTGCTTAGGTTTTTCCTTTATTTCCTGCACAATTTCCAATTTTTCTTCTTTAAATTCTTCTTCACTAAAATCATGAAGACGTGAAGTACATAAATGATAAATTATTTAATTGAAATAACCATAATTAATGAAATTGAGTATACTGCCGCCATTACTGTTTTGTAGAATGTTTATTGGTATTTTTTCTTTTTTATTTAAGAATTGAAAATACAAAACTTAAAATACGTTTAACATGAAAAAAAAAAATATTCAAAAGCAAGAACCAGTATTTTGGTTTTTCTACTTCTTCTTCTTCTTGTACACTGAAAACATATGCAACAGCAGGCAATAAAGAATTTAATCAAAATAAAAAACAAACAAGGCTACTTTTTCACGCAAAGTGAAATATAATTGATAAGAGATTTTTTCTCGTTACACTTTTTATTGATTAATAAATAAAGTGCAACACCGCGCAGAAAATGTATGCGCAGAAATTTGTTTTTATTCTCCACTTGGCTTGCCTACAAGGTAGCATCAATCGAGAGACTGAAAATGGAGCTGAACTGTCAACTGGTGGGTAACATCAGATGCTGTACTGCTTTAGGTGATAACAGACTGGTCTTTCAATCAGTCTAGGTAATACTCAAATAATTAGTAGCCTGGATATTTGCCAAAATTACAATGGGTAGCGAAACACTCTCTGAAGTGACAGCCAAGTTGCTCTAAAGGCCGTGGAAGGCCGTTCGCACATCTTCAAAAATATTTAGTCCAGGAATGCAAGTTTGTAAACTGTACACCGTTGCAAAATGGAATGAGCTTGAACTTATGTGGATGCATGCCAGCACACAATGATTTTCAAAGCCAAACGAACTGGCTGCAAATGCATTGGCGAACCAACGTTCGTATGACAGTCGTGTTTACGTAACCGGAACGACGCAGATCTACTATCATATATTTGGCTAGGGACTGTACTCAAAAACTCATTGGGTAGTCCCTGCAGACGAAAGAGTCCAGCAACTTTTCATCGACGACCCACACTCACGGTTTACATGTTGTTTAGAAGAAGAGAATAGATAGATGGATAATGCACTGCGACCAGTCGGTCTATTGTGTGAAGATGAGGATAGTATACAAATTAATTTCCTTGCAGCTATCCGGTACATTATTTGTCGGTCGGATGTGTTGAGAATGAATGAATAAAAAAGTCTCATAGTTTGCCGTGGCATAATAATTTAAGACGCAGACCAATACTGCTTACCCTATACACTTCTAATTCTTTCTCTAGGCCTTAAGTACAGTGGGCAATAGTGCCTGAGTGCTTGAAAAAATTTTATTTTGGCCACACACAATTGCATTCTTCCATTTCATTACTTGCGAATAACTTACGACTGCGGTTGCGTATACTTTTTATTGCCTTTTTGGTAAAGCCACTTTAACTAATATTTGTGCATAAGCTGTTATCTAAAAGCAAATTGCTGGTCGTAAAAGTTGATAACTTGTTTTTTATTTTTTATTTGTTTCTGTTTTTCTGATTTCATACTACGTCTTTTATAATGGCACAATTGCTTTAATTTTAGCAACATACTTTTTGCGCGCCTCAGTTACAAACACATTTCATTGCTTTTGTTGCATATGTTTTATATGTACATGTGTATGCATAGCACAAATATACAATTTATGTATAGTATATGTATACACATAACTTTTAGTATATGCATATCAACTACAAATGTATACAAGTGTACATATATAGTTGGTAACTACTTTGGAAAACATAATCATCATTATCAGTGTAAATATGTTTACAAAAAAGAAAAACACAAAAAATTATATTAATAAGCAATAAGTACTTAAAACAAAACTAACGCTTTTTCATTACTCTTCGATTAAGCATTACTTTGCTCCTACATACATTTTCTTTTTTGCATTACAAGCACAATCAGATCACATATAAATCTACTACATGTATACGTATCGTCGTTTAAGGCGCAAAACCGCGTAACTGACATTTGCGGCAAAAATTAGATTTGCTCATCGGAAGCTCCTGGCATCTAGCCTTATTTATCCACTCGTACCAAAATATCGATATTTAGATAGAAAAAGTAATTATATTCAGGGATAAAAGCGAGCGCCGTTTTCAAAAAATACAGGTTTAGATTTTACTCTCTCTCGGGTAAAATTGGCGCAACCTCAAAAACGAGGTTTTGCATTATCTTAATACGCGGTTTTCTACATTAAACGACGATATGCACAGTATGCGTAAGTATGCACTTTGTAAACATTAAAAAAATACGATATAAAGTAAGCAAAAATATACCAGAACTAGTTGCAATTTAAGATACAAAAACAAAAATACATTTAAACAGCTATAGTCGAAAAGTAAACAAGACATAAATGTGTTTTTTTTTTGTTGTATATAATTAAGATATATAATATTACAGCAATTTAATTTTGGAGAATTTAAGTTTTTCTTATTTTTGAATGTGTATATGTATGTACGTATGATGTGTACTATGTACGCTTATAAATTTGGTCATTGAGTGTTCTTTTTTTTTTACTAACTACATACAATACAATTATAATGTAACGTGCCGAAATTAAAAAAAAAAAAAAAATAAAACAAAAAAAAATTGTTTTAGCGTGGCAATTATAGTTAACATATTAAGTCTCATTTTAACTGCAAATATTTTATGTACCTATGTATATATGTGTTTACTTGTATTTGTTCACTTTGTTTTTAACTGTGTCTTCTTACTGTGTGCTGAAAGATGTCTCTAGGTCGTCGTCAACGTCGTCAACGTCGTCGTCGTCGTCGTCGAGTGTTTTGCTAGCACTTGTCGCGTTCGCGTATATTAGCTTAGTTATATAACAAGCTAAGATGTTATCTCTATCGTTTTCGCTTTTTGAAGTAACAAAAAGCAAAAAATGCAATATTCGCATTGCGGAAATTTCATTTACTTTAAATAAATATCAATAATTTACTTTTTAAGTAAATCACTTTTTAATTTGTTAACTAATTTTGTTTACTTTTCGCTAAATTTTATACAAAGTTTTAGAAATTGTTTGGTTCTCTATCGACGTCTTAAGTTTATACACGAAAATGAATTCGCTTGTCACAAAAGAAGAGTGCAATTATGCACAGAACTAAACGCAAGAACGCACGCCGATCACCGACTACAAACAATTTGCCATAATCGTTTATTAGAGTTAATATTATTTCAGCATTTAATGTCGTTCAACACAGAAAGTGTACAAAATTAGTGCCGCATGATTATTGCTTTTGTGACAAACGAAACATGCCACATAACGGGTAGTAAATTAGTTGTCATCTTTCATGCGCTACGTGTGAGTGTTTGCTCATTGTTTTTTTTACTATTGTATAAAATGATGCAGTTGGCCTGTACTTGGTATTCATCTTGATTTTAATGGGTGGCACAAACTTAAAATTACTTGGTTTGAAGGATTATGTGATAAATGTATGTACTCGTAGTATGTTTGTTTCTGTCGTTACTGTTTCTTTTTAAAAATTTTAAAGTTGTTTATGCAAACCAGTAATTATGTATGTCTATCTGTTCGACTACATGTACATATGTATGTATATAGTATGTGTAGTATCTATTTAGTTTTAACTATTCTCATTTTGTAGCGCTAATCTGTACTATTACACTACACACTTGTCTATATACTTGTTTGTGTATGTTTGTGTGTGTTGGTATTGTATTTGTTGTTGTTGTTTTTTTTTTTTTTTTGATGGTGGCTGGTATATAACGGTGGTGGTTGTTTGTGTTTATGTATACAAAACTTACTGATCTTGTGGATCTGTGTCGCTTTCTTCCAATTCACTCTTGTTGCGTCGCTTTTCGTAGATGAGAATGATCGCACAGAGGATCAGTACTTCGGCGCAGATACCCAGGAAAGGCCACAAGGCGGCGAGTTTGCCTAGAAAATATATATTTATATATAGCATGAATTTCAATACATTTATTAAATATTTATTGATGATGAGCGGTGATACTTGAAAGGTTTTATATACCGAGCATTAATTTAAATTTGTAAATCAACTACCCAGGCCAATATAAACTGTGTACATTTTTTGAAGTGAAACTTCTTAATCGAGTTCGGAGATGGTTGCGTTAAATATTTAACATCAAGTCATAAAATCTGTATCGTTCGTACGATTTTCAAAAATGAGGTGTCACATGAAAGGGCTTGACCTGCAGATGTGCAGTATGGTTTTAGTCTTTTAAAGGGTTGCGATATATACGAAAATCAAATTAAAAGAAATGGTTTTGAATACGTTGTATTTTCTAGCTAAATGTAGGAGGGTTGCCACCTATTTCAAAAGTGAAATTTAGTGAAACTATACAAAGTCTTACGCTTAAAATACTATACAGTACAGAAACAAAATTAAAATATTTTTGAGGTGCCTGAAGAGGGTGGCCACCTGTTTAAAAAGTTAAACTCAAATTATTGAAGCAAATCTTATTATTATAGCTCCGTTATGTTTGCGATAAATATTTAACGTCACGGTACAGGTAGCATATGACGGGTATAGAAAACGAATAGCTGCGTTAAACGCCAATTGGGCGGGAAAAGACTAATGCAAAGACAAGAATAAAATCAAAAACAAATATAAAGATAAGATGAAGATGAAGATGACGATGAAGATGAAGATGAAGATGACGATGAAGATGAAGATGAAGATGAAGATGAAGATGAAGATGAAGATGAAGATGAAGATGAAGATGAAGATGAAGATGAAGATAGATGATTAAGATGAAGATGAAGATAGATGATTAAGATGAAGATAAAGATAAGTAGACTGTTATGATCTACCTGTAACTCTCGCAGGAGATCAACGTCAGCGTTTCGCTGGCTAAATCTGATGAACTGACTAAATTTTTTAAAGAAAAATTTTTACTGGAAATGGTTAATAGTAGAAATGACCCAACAACCTAAGGAGCGGCTACCATTGAATTGAAATAAAACGTTTCAAATCTTTCTTTAGTTACCACAATTTACTAGTTAATACTGTAGATATGGGTTTTCTCAGCCACAAATAATAATTAAACTTTTATATTATAAAAAAAAAAATTAAAGGTCGTTAAAAAAAATATGTTTTTTGTGTGTTAGAAAATATGTACATGTGTATGTATATCGCACATTTCTTTCATTCTGGCATTTCCTGTATTAAGTTTCACTTCTTCCGCGCGTAGGGACTACACGCTCTGAGTTTTTTTTAAGCCTGTGTTATTACTTTTTATGTTTTAATGCTGTATGCTCGCAGCCATCCGATCAGCGATTTCGGCATATTCTTTTGTAGCGAAGTCCTATTCTAAAAGCACATTTTTCTCACGGCCAATAACTGTTGATAGTTGCTACAACTTTATTTAGTATGCCGGAATGAATCGATTACAATCCAGATAACTTTTTCATAAGAATAGCCGCTTTGTTGTTGGCACCCTTTACTTACAGTGGTCAAAATATTTATTGGTACAGTCATTTTTTTTACAATATTCACAATTTCTTTTTGTTATAATAATTTTTTGGTTAATTTTTCACGAAAATATAATTCATATTCTCACAAAAACCATGTTAATTAAATTTTCTAACTTTTTACAAAAAAAAAAAAACAATGTCCGCTTTTCATCAAAATTTCAAAATTTTTATTTAGTTTTGTAGCTCATTCAATTTTAGTACACCTTTCAAGTCGCTATAAATTAGCGTTAATTTTTTAGAATATTTTTCTCAAGGGTGTTGGGCATTTTCTTCCATATAACGTATGCCCAAAATACAATTTTTGTTCAACATAATTTGAAATCATCTGAAATTGAATGGGCTAGAAAAGCGTACACACGATGTTTTCTAAAAATTTTGATGCACATTTGTTGTCTTTGTTTTAAGTTTTGTAAAAAGTTTGAAAATTCAACTTTTTATGGTTTTTGATAGAATATCTCGTGAAAAATTAATGAAAAAAAAAAATAATTATGGAATATATTACGAATATTGTAAAAAATCAATGTACGAATAATTATTTTGACAAATGTATGTATGTACCTTTTTATTCTAATGATAAGTAAAACCCCGAGCTTTAGGTAAGATCGCTAAAGAAGTTATACCTTAATGAATAGTAGATTTTATGCGAGTTTTCTTCCTGATTTTCTCCATTTTATCAAGTAAATTAGTCATTTAAATCGTGATTTTTGTTATGAATAACTATTTACAAATACTTATACATATAAGTTGTATTAACGAAGGCATAGAAACCGCACTTGGCAGCTGCTTTGTGGCGGCAACAATATGCCAGTACGAAAAATGTTCTCATCTCAAAAGATTCTCCCATATTTACTCACCCTTAACACGAACAAATGAAGCATCACTGGCCTCAGCGTAGTCAGCATACTCATTGGCGTCATTACGTCCAATGCATTTAAATTCGCCTCTATCATCAAGGCTTATATTCTCAATAGACAAGATTGCGTTTTTCACTTGATTATCATCGGGTTTCAAAATATAACGGCCTGTGCTGTTTGAGATTGTTAAATTACCTGCAAGTGAGTAAAATTTATTTTTAGGTTTAGTTTGATTTTTTTTTTTTAATTAATTAAAGAGGAGATATTAATGTGTTCCCACAAACTTACCAATCTTCCAAGACAATTGTGGATCTGTACCAATAGATGTACAGACAATTGACAATTTCTCACCCTCGACAACACCGGTATTTGAAGGCACTCGTACAACAACGCGAGCTATAAGAAATTTATTGAAAAAAGCATTAAATCTATGATTGACATATAAGGTTCCAAGAGGAAAATATGACACATTAATAATTATAATAATAGCAATTACGCGGCTAAAAACCAACAAGGCTGCAGAAGCTGAGGTCTGTTAGCGGAGCTATTCAAATATATACTTGGGTGTAGAGTCGACGACTGGAATTTACATATGTGTGCTCTGCTCAATCCACAAGAAAGCTGACCCCGCCATACGCGCCAACTGCCGCAGGATCAGCCTTGCAAGCGACGGATACACAAAATCTATTTGTCGATTCAAAGCGACTTTTGACAGCACGAAAGGAAAAAAATACGACTGTGTAAAATGAAGTTGAGCAATGCCACCAGCTCCCCGTCAGAACTGGGTACGACCTCTCCGAGCCGTTTGATATCAAACGAGGTTTCAGTTAGGGCGACTACCTTTCATGAGATTTCTTGGTTGAAGAACCTAATTAAAGCCGCAAAACTAAACTGCTCAAGTACCACTGTTCACAAGAGCGTACAATTGCTGGCATATTCTAACAACAAAAACAAGGGCTACGTCTGTTCCGCCTCGGAATTAGATAGAGAACCAAAGCGCTTGCGTATGGTGAGAACATTATACAGCATCTCCTGTAATCACACTAACAGTCAGTGCACACCCATATCGGCACTCATGTCACTGTTGACAGCTATATTTTTGGAAAAATTATACGATTTGGGAACCTGCATTAGATCACCAATAAAATGTCAGATTTGAAATCGGGGAATAGGAAAAAGATATTTTACAAGTTTTGGCTACTTTGCTTTGTTTCAAAAATGTTTATTATTTTTTTATGAAAATGTAGCCGATTATCTAAAAAACATGTAAATCAAATTTCAAACTTTGTAGAACGCTTATAAAAATTCAACGAAATTTTAAACATTTTAATCAGATTTTCTAGAATTTTTTGAGTATGCAGTTTAGTAGCCCCTTAAATTTTAGTGGAACAAAGTGGAAGTTGGAAGTAGCTTGGACTTACCATTGATTTTGCCAAATTTTTGTTCTCGCATATTCTTCCATACAAAGTATGGTATTATATTTTTGAAGGAATTAGTATTTTCTTTATAATTTCACTAAATTCAAACTAGAATCGTTATATTAAAAAAAAAAAAAACTTAACAAACAATTATACAAGTTATTTTTAAGCAAAAAACAAAACCGACTGCAACTCTCATATAAAAATTTAGGAGTACCGTTAATTTCGTAATAATCTAATGATCGGACCTAAACCAAATTAGTGTATGAGCACCTCTGAGGTACTAACTATCCTTATAGAAATCGGTTAACGTGGTCGACGGTAACGTACATATAAAAATATATATATATTCCGATGACTTGATAACCTCCTTTCTTTGAAGTCGGTTAAAAAAACTTAAAAAAAAAAAATGAAAGAAGAACGATACACTGCAATATAGCGAGAGTACCAGTTTTACAGAATAAAACATAACCAAAGATCGTAGAAAATTAGGATGCTGGCTTTTTTAATGGCTCCCTTATATTCTATGTATGTCCTTTGTGCTATACTAATAAAAATTAATAAAAATATGCATCCACTTACCAACTACATTAATATGTTTTTTCTGATTATCGGCTACACAACTGTAGAGACCATCATCGTAGGTATCTGTTCGGTCGATTATGAACTTTCTTTCGGCCGCAAGAATTCTATAACGGCCTTCAAGTTCTTTGACTTTCGTGATATCCGTACCGTTCTTCTCCCTAGAAAAGAGAAGAATAACAATATTAAAACACACTGAGAAAAAGGATTAGTTTCGACAACTAAAGATATTTAGTTCCCGAATTTTGACAATATTTGGGAACTGTGACCAAGGATTGGGAACTATTACCATGGGTTGGTTATTATAATTAAATATATTAAAGCTTCTAATATTCATCTAGGTTATACCAAANTATACTTACATATGTATATAGTAAGTCCATACTTGCAATGGTAACTTAAAAATTGTAATCTATACAAATAAAAATGTTAAGTTCGTTTGTTCGGCGCGCAAAAACGTTCTGTATCATTTCTATATTTTTTTTTCATAGGCTAAAAATACTTTCGATATATCAATGGGGCGTGGCACCTCCCATACGAACTGTTCGTGGTAGAGTACTGGAACTTGGAATGGAGATATGACTCAAGTCTACACAAGTTTTTGGATGTACTACCTACTATGTAATTAGAGGGGGTAACAACACAAAAATATTTTGAAGACCCAAACTAGGTGAACCAAGCTGAAACAAGCTAGGTGAACAAAATTTGTTCCCGGATTACTACAAAAAGTTAACTTATTAACATAAAGGATATCCGCAAAGCCCTGACTGACATTCAACTGTTCGGGGTGGAAGTGTTCAAAAATAAATTTAAAATCTGTAGTTGAGCTTGACGACAACGATTGATGGACAAGACGATTTAGGCAGGGATAAGTAAGCCGCCACAACAACAACTATTTGGATTTTATTTTTTCCAGAGCATTAATAAGTTAAGAATTTTTCGAAGAATGGCTAAAGGTTGATAAACGTGATGGAAATGTTCACCATTATAGCTTTCTTAATCCAAAATTTAAGCTGAACGCTGTTACTAAAGCTACTGAAAAGGTTATAAGAAAAAATTGTTCTAAAACTCGTCGAAAATTGTTATTTTTTAACGATTTTTTGTTTTTTAAATGTATAAGCAAGTATAACCTATATGAATGCGGAAAGATGTTCTAGGTGACCCTGTGCTCTTTTGGGAGACGAGTAATGAGCAACCCTGAATTATATATGCTCCCATTTCAAAGTCGTTGGAAAATCCTCTGGAAGAACTTTGAATTTGGACACTTATGTTATGGACTCCACTTCGCCGAGAGAGTATATGGACACCTGAGTGGTAGATCAACATATCTCGGCAGCTAGTTCGAAAACGCCCTATCTCAGAAAACTTTTCAAGAACGACCTATATCAGAATTTGGCTCAAAAAAAAAAAATTCACATATGTAATTGGCTATACCCCGTAAGAGTCTCTGTGGAAGAGAGGAGGCTTCAATGTCTGCCAGTGGCGGTATCGAAAACTTTTGACACATCAAACGTTGTTAGGACGGTTTTCTCGCAGGGGCGGTTATAGTTAAAACCACGGGTTATCTCAGCGTTAATGTTGTTAAGTGCTAATGTAAATATTACTATGTATTTCTCGGAAGTTATACTGATGTTTCGTAGGGGTCAGGTGATAAGTACCTCAAGAGTTTTTACCACGGGGGAATAGAGTGTTATCGGGGTATAAGAGTCCTCTTTGTTAACAGGTTTCCCTGGCTCCCTAATACATACGAGTTGTTGTCGACAAATTGCGGACCTTGGTGAGGTAGTCTGCCGCCGCACCCAATTTTTATTTTACGTTTTTGAAAGATTTGTCTTCCCGATGTCCACCCGTACTTCGACGATGGTGAAAGTAAAAGGCCGAATTCAGCAGTTTGTGCTGCCTGCGCACAGAACACCCCGACAACCTTTTCAGGCGTTCCGCGCTTTTCATGTTTTCAGCAATAGCCGAATTGTGTAGCTGAAAGCCTGAAAAGCATATTGTGGAGTTCTACTCTTCGGGTTCCAACTATAAATTAGCGGCTGAAGTAGCTCGATGTTCGGGCTCGACGAAGCGTGATCACCGAATGATATTTCCACTCTGTCATCACACTTCGTCGGGTTAGCCAGAGAAATTACGGTTGACCAAAGCGCACTCACGCCTGACGTGATTCACAGATCGACAGCATCATCAATGGACATGTTAATTTACTGGTAGAACCGTACCAACTGGAAAATTGGTGCGGATTTTCTGACAAGCGTCAGAACGTGATGAAGGTAAGATAGAGTAAGCACTGTGACCTGTAGGTCTATTGCGCCCTCAGCTCATCACAAAACCCCTAGGGTTAGACTCTATAAATTTCAGAATGGATCCCATGGGTAGGCTTGGCCATAGATGCCCTATACTCCTCTCTCTTCTACGTAAAACGGCCTCACACTCCAGAAGAAGGTATAATGATGTCTGCTAGGCGGGGTCACAGAAGCGACGTAGGTCACTAGCTTACGCAAATGGCCGCTTAGACTACAATGGTCCGTCAAAATGCCTGCAATAATTCTTAGTTTCTCCTTGACGCGGACCGGTGGTGCTACGTCAGTGAAGTTGTTTCTGTTTAGTATTTTCCTTTCTGAGCGCTTCTTCTATCGGTCGGGGACCTATCGAAAGGAAGGAAGGGCTCAGGTTCTATCGAGGTCGAGGCAGCAGCCATGTTGGCTAACTGATCGGCTTCCTCATTTCCTTCAACTCCCATGTGCACTGGTACCCATGACAGTTGGATACAATTAATTTCAGCCATGGCATTAAGCTTCTCTATACACTCTAGGGTCACTAAGGCTTTGACCTCGAAGGAGAAGAGAGTTTTGAGTGCCTCTTGACTATCACTTAAAATTAGTTAAATCTGCATACAGACTGCTGGCATAGACTTCCGCTTGGAAAATGCTTAGAAAGGTTCCTACGGCCGCCGAAAACGGCAGTCTTAGGTCATACATATATATTCATACGCCTGGCTACCTTAAAGTTTCTTTCGAAAACTACTATCTATGCATATCATCTGTGGGGAGCAGAACTAATGGCAGCTGAAAGCCTTTATTTTTCCATACATATACATATGTATTTAGGTTTTATCGAAATTATAGCCAATTTTATTAAATTTTCACAATTTTTACAAAATATGAGTAAATAAATGCACAAGTACAATAAGGGTACATTTAATACATATACATACTGTGTATGTAAATGCAAGTACGCATAAAGAAAGACACATCAAAATATAAAAATTCAAATTATTCATTAATAATTCCACAATTTAGCGGCGTCGACGACGTCTCGAACCGCGTCGACTGCGGCTCCGGCTACGAGCAGCGCGTCTCTTTCGTCGCCGCATACCACGATCTTCCAACTCGCCACCACTGTCCTCGGAGTTATCCTTATTATCTTTCGGTTCTAGTTCGCCAGCTTCTTCGGCAACGATCATATCCAAGTCAACCGGTGCGGCATAGTACTTCCGCTGGGAGCGTTGTATAAAGCCGTAGCGGACGCCACCATTTAAAGTCTCTTTCACTGATTCCTTGACCTCATTGGGATGCACCTGCGGAGGGTATGGAAAAAAATTAAAATTTAATGCTCTGTTCACCAGCTTTCCATTGGAAAACTCTTAAAAGAAAAATTTTTACTTACGCCAGCTGTGACAGCGATATGCGTTACAATTTTGCTGACCGTTACTGGTTCTTCTAGATTTTGCAAAGTTTGCAGAATTAATTGCCCATTTTGATTAGCCATTTGTTGCGAAAATTCAAACGCAATCGTTCAACAAAAAAAACCGTTCCGCCTGTCTGTATTGTCCACCGGCACGTGAGCGCTTGTTAGTTGGTTTATCAGTGAGTTTGTAAAATTTTTCAAATTAATTTTTGAAAAATTTGGACACGTGTACTTAAAATTTAAATTTATTTTGCTGACAAAGAAAAATTGTTTTCAATACGATGAAAGTTTGTTGAAGTTTTGCGCCTTGATTAGAGATTGTAGACGAAAATTTGTTTCGAGTGCAAGCAAGGTGTTGTCAGTAGCCATGGTGGAATAATAACAAGGTGTTGTCAGTAGCGACGTGTTTGTTGTAATTTTGACAAAGTCGGCATGCTTTTTTTCAGTGCTACCGATCTTAATTTTTATACTACTATTCGTNCAAGGTGTTGTCAGTAGCCATGGTGGAATAATAACAAGGTGTTGTCAGTAGCGACGTGTTTGT